GCATGAGCAGAAAGTTTGTAGCTTTGAGGTCCAAATTATAGATCATTCCTGATTATGGGTGTCCGAATTAACGACTTTTGACTGTACTCATTTTTATCATCTCCACTTTTAACATTATTTACAAAATAAGTTTGCTGAAAATAATTTCAAATGATGAATTTTATTAAAAAAAAACTGCCTTAATTTTTTTTTGACACCAAAGTTATGCATCAGAAAGAGAAATATACATTTATTGTACCCTTCCCAAACATGCAAAATAAAATACTAACTCTTGGCCATTCTGTAACCAATAGGAAACATGAAAAAAGCTGCCTTGGTGAAAAATGAAACAATTTTAATCATTATAAATTTTTAATATCTGTTAGCACAGAACAGTTGGCAACCAAGAGCAGAATTGTCAACTTCTAAGTTAAAACCCCTACAACTCACTTTCAGAGCTCTTCAAACAATACTAGCATCATAAATGTTTTGTAGTTGGCCTTCTGAGTAACAAGAAGACTTTGCACACTGTTTAAGTATCTTGGCTTTTGACATTTTCTAAATCATTATTAAAAAAAGTAGGTACTTATATCGTTCCGTTCATAAAGGACTAACAATGCCAGAGCTATAATTCAAATTTTTTAAAAATTTTCTGCTAAAGTACACTGCACGAAAAAAAAGGGGACAGTTCTATATCTCCCATTCTACTGGGCCGATTGGTGAAATTCAAACTGCGTTTATCATGTTTCGAAAGCACGACTTAGGATATATATTAGATTTATATATAGCATTGTTCTAGCATAGGTATTATGGCACAAAAATCGGACTTTTTCTGAAATAACATATAATTTTATTTTCATATTTTGATTCTACGACTCAAATTATGCCTAGATATTAAATTTTGGCCCAGTAGAACAAGAGATATAGAACTTTTTTTTTGGCAGTGCACTTTTCCTTTTAAACCCATTGTAAAAATGGTATCATCTTATAAAAATACTCAGTTTTTTCAGCACTGAAAATATCCTTTTCGTTGCATACATTATCTTAAACACTTTTTTAATAAATTTCATTCATAAATTTTCCTAATGAAGTACATTTCCCTTTTTTAAACCTATCCAATCAGCCATTTCAGCATAAAAGAACTGTTTCCCCATATTGTTTAATTTACTCACCCACTTCTTCCTAAAGCACTTTTCTAGATTTTGGTAGATTGCAGTTTCAATGAATGATGAATCATTTCAGCTGCTTCTTACACATCTTTACGCTCATCCTCTTTCAATGTTTCTTCGACTTCAAAATTTTTTTATGAACAAAAATTATAAGACCTCAGCTTTCCTTCGTGATATAAACTGCAGACTTAACTAAATTTGGCTCAGCAACATATTTTTCTATTGATACTCACTTTATTTTCAATTCATAATGCTTTATATTTAAAGTTTACCATATAGCTCAATTTTTCATGCAAAAAATTTTTGTCATTAATGGGCTAATGGATTATATAAAACAATATTTCTAAAACTTTTTGGGTATACTATTCACGTTTACAAAATCCTGAATGTTCTATGCGCCCCTGTGAACCTGCATATATTTTGTTTACCAAAATATGAAAGAAAACTTAAAGAGTGATGACAAGGTTGAGTTATTCCAACATTAATGTAATTAAAAGTAAACTCACAATCATATTTAACTAAATTACATGAAGGAGGAGTAACAAAATTGGTTTAATGAAAAGGATATGCCTGATAAGTTGCATAATGGGAATGCTATGAGAAATTTTTGTACGATATTCTACAAATCAAGATAAAATTTGGGTATCTTCTTCTGTAGCCAAAACTGTTTATATCCAGATTTAAATTCAAATTTCAATTCTTTATTTATTCTAAATTCAGTAAATTCTTCTTCTAAATTTGGAAATGCTTCTGAAATCACACATAAAAATGAGTCCAAAAGTCGATTGAAAATATCTGTATTTAAATATATCTTAAAATCATTTCTTTTGAAGTCCATTTGCAGAGCTTCCAAATGTTGACAATATTCAAACATCTTTGTTATTTTTTCCTAGACTGTAATATTCAAATACTGCCATATAAACACTATTATTTCTCACTACTCTCAATTATTATATGTGGCGTTCCAACAGATACTTCAACTTCTATTCATGAGATGGCGCCACGTGTAAAATCCAGTTCTTAATCGGAGCAGCAAAGCGACGCATTACTCACTCAGACTTCTCGTCAGACAACTGTACGCGACGGTAGCATGAACTGTGTTCCGAGCTCTGCGTTGATCTCTGCAATGTAATTTAAATTGTAATTTAGTTCTTAATATATTCTTTTGTTATAGGAGATTGTCTACTCTTATTTTCTTTAACTATATCATGCATTAAGCACACGACCACCAAAAGTGGTGACCTTTTGACTGAGCACGCTACTGACAATGGATTTTCAACGACCCTAAGTCACGTGCATCCAAGGCATTCTGAAGAACTGACTAAAAATAACAACGAATATGGACATTAAACGTATGCTACAACATACCCCTTCAATTATTTCTAGAAGTATTGATATATATTGCTTGTGTTTTTTTAAAAGTCGTGCATATCATCGCAAGGAGCTTCAGCAATTCATCAATGTGATCTGTTCCGTTCCGCTGACTTCGCCAGTCGTGCAATAATTCTTCAATCATTCAACTTTTGTGACAAATGTGATACAATAGTGATTTTTGCTAAATGTGCTACATCAGTAATTTTTCTGCAACGTGCTACGGCAAAATTCTTCCCTCAGTGTTCGAAAGTAGTGAATTTTTTTCCCATGTGCTACAGGAGTGATTTCCTTTTTTCCTTCGAAAGTGCCTTAGCAGTGTGAAGTGGTGATTTTGTGTGTGCGCAATACAAAATGAACACATAATTTTTTTTCTCAAATAGGGGTTTCTTTTCAAATGCATTTCGGTAAAATATTATTTGTGTGCGTAATTGCTGACCCTGTCTTATGTGTGTGTATCATTATGTAAATTTTTTCTGCATGGTTAAAATATTTATTGTTATCATGGTAAAATATCAATAGTGTATCCTCATGCTACAATATTTGTGCTGTTAAGTGTTTATTAGTTAAAGTGAAAATTATCTATCAGTATGCCCGATGATATTCCACCAGAGCCACAAATCACACGCGATGCGGTGAAGCCACCGCCTTTCTGGAAAAATAATCCTTCATTGTGGTTCGCTCAGATCGAAGGACAATTTTCTATTGCTCGCATTAGCGAGGATTCTACAAAATTCAACCATGTAGTTGCAGCAATTGAGTCTGATATTCTGAATTCAGTGCATGACTTAATTCTCAAACCACCTGATTGTGATAAATACTCCAAACTGAAACAGCGGCTCGTTGAAATCTATTCAGAAAGTGAATCTTCAAAAATACGTACTTTACTACAAGGACTTGAAGATCAGCGACCTTCATACTTGCTGTCACGAATGCGTGATCTGGCAGGAAGCCATTTTAATGACGACTTGTTGAAGTCACTATGGCTTTCGCGTCTCCCTAACAACATACAAATAATTCTTGCTGCTTCCAATGAAAATCTAACCCGTTTAGCAGCAATGGCTAACAAAATTAATGAACTAGTTACTCCAGCTTATGTCAGTGCTGCTAATGCTGCCTGCACCTTCCAGTTCATCCCTCGAACAACAAGTGGCTGAATTGACCAAAAAAGTATCTGAACTCTCTACAAGTCTTCATGCTTCACGGAGATACAATCGATCAAATCAGGGCCCATGTAATAAATTTCGTGCCCGAAGCAGGAGTCGATTTCGTCACAATACTCGAACGCAGTACAAAGAACCAACAAGTGGCATATGTTTTTATCATATGAATTTTGCCGTTCAAGATCACAAGTATGCCCCTCCATGCACTTTTGAACAAGCGGGAAACTAAATGGGCGGTCTTCTGCTGGCCAACAGAATGTCTGCCACATCGACAGAATAGTACTGGCTGATCTTCAACTCAGTTATGTTTTCTAGTAGATACTGGAGCTGACATATCAGTGCTCCCGAGAACTAAAACAAATGCTCACCAACTTAATAAACTTGTACTGTATGCAGCCAATGGTACCCAAATTGCAACCTACGGCACCAAACTATTGACACTTGATTTAAACTTGCGCTGGACTTTCAACTGGCCTTTTATTATTAATTAGTACTTAATATATTCTTTTGTTATAGGAGATTGTCTACTCTTATTTTCTTTAACTATATCATGCATTAAGCACACGACCACTAAATATATATGCCCTCCCCCAAATATCATATAGATCTTCATTCATGCCCTTAGACCACTTCAGCACCCACTGGAGGGGTAAGGCCCAATTTGAGAATCGGTGAAATGAAAGAATAAAAAGTATCAACCACCTAAAAAAGTTGGAATACAAGATCATTTTATCACTCATGTATCCTGCTGAATTCCCTATGTTTCATTTCCAGTTTTGTTTCTCAACAAATGCTTATTACATGGGTATTACACCTGGCTCTCATAGCCTTTGAAAGACAAAGAAAAGTTCAGTAAATGATAAAAGAACAAAATAATGTAAAAGCATTTACTGCTATCTTAACAGATGATTTTAAGAGCTAGAAATTTTTCAACTAGAATTTACATTTTTTTTAATTATGAAAAATATTCCTCTCTCAACAATAAAGATTTATCAAAACATTGATCAAATTTATTGCATCTGCTTTTCATATGCCAAAAATTTCAGTTCCTATATCTGGCATTATAGTATAGTGTGGTTTGAGCATATTTATAAAACAGTGAAATATGCCATTTTGAAACAAACCAAAATAAATATTTTATTTTTATTCACTTGCCAAATGGAAAGTGGCATTAATCATGAAGTTGAGACCGAATGAAAACAAAATATATTAAATTACTGAGGGACTTAAAAGAATATATATTTTTTAAATTTCAATAGAACTTGATGGAATATACAGAAATATAAAAAATTTGATGCATGATAAACAGTGACCTTACTTCATGATGTATAAGGATCGTCTTGGAAGCAAAGCATCCACAAATACACTTTTATTTTTTCCCATAACAAGCCTCATGACTGCAGATGAAAGTAAAGAAATTCCAGCAATAGTATCTCCACAAAACTAAAACAGAACATTTCAGACACACATAAAAGGGGAAAACAAAAGCAAAAAATATGTATTTTGAATATTTATACTGATGACTGAGTTAATGTTAATTACAACAAATTATGTGCACATTTATGGAGTAAGAACAACTTCCTTAATTACTCTACATTAAAGTACAAGAATTCTGAATTTATAGAAAGTGGAAGTATATTTTAACCCTCTCAGCGTTATGGCCGGAACATTCTGTAAAGAAGGCCGGCTTCTTATTCATTACACATGAAAATTTCTGCTAGCTTTTAATGTATCCGATTTCGGTATGGATGTATATTGAAAGAAAAAGAATCAAGGTACAAAGTGAGAGAGCAGTCTTTTAATTAAAATCAAGAAAATACCACTTATTCATGACAGTTTGAGGAACTTTTGAAATTTTAGGGTTAATCCTGTAACGCTTGGAGGGTTAAAACAAGAGACACAGTTAAATTTGAACTTGAATAAATAAATAAATAAAATTCAATGCAAATTTAAAGAAATGATGAAATTCAACTGGAATTCTTAATACAATACTAATAGTTAACAAGGGGAAATGAAGAATCACTCACTACTTCGCATGTTTTTAACAACTGCACAAACTCGGTATCTGTGTACACATCAATCTATTTTCACATAAAAAAACATCAGAGAATTGCACAAACTTGGCATTGCACACTTGCTTGACTTTTTAGGAAGAAAAATGTACACATCGATCTAGTTACACTTAAAACTTCAAAGGAGCACCCAATTCTTCTTACTCTTGTAAAAGCGACAAACAAAACGTGCCAAATAAGTGGGCAATTCTGCATTTCACCTGTTAACAAAATTTATGACACTGATGCAAAGAAGAAAGTATCAAACTATTATTGTACCTTTCATAAAAACTGCAATCTCATATATATGATATTATATTACAAGAAATACTAAACTATAAATCAACTAATTATGAGCAGCAACAAAACACAAAATGGTTGCTAATGAAAACAATACAATTATTACTGCTTCAAGTAAGTTTTACAAAACATACACACATATAAATGTTACAAGATAAAAAACATGCTAATAAAAATGCTAGTTTTAATCTGCAATAGTCCCTTAATTCTCCTTTTTAATTTAGTTATCTTCCCTTTTCTTCCTAAAAATAGTACCTGCTTACAATAAATTGCTATTAATTTCATCATTTCAAAATTAATCCAAGCTATACGATTCTTGCAAAACATTAATGGTGCATAATGATTCAGCCAATGAAAATTTCAAATCTGAAAACAAAAAATTAACCAATAGGGATAAAATTGCTCTTAAAGTTTCATCTTGGATTTTTTGCTCTTGCTTGCTGCTCTGATAGGATTTTGCTGTTTACCTCTTTTTAATCAACTACATTTTCATAATGTTACAGGCATAAATTGATCAAGAACAGGTATGTAGATTGTGCCCTTCGTGCTATGTAGTTCAAGTTAAGAACGTGCTTCTGAAGAATTGTTTTCTCTAGAAGTAAAATATGTTCAATTGGCAATGATTGCCATACCATAAACTTGTAAATCATCCCACACGCACATGCATGTAAAAGTAAAGTATTAAAAAAATATGAATAAATAATGTGCATGACACATCATAAAACTATACACATAACTGAAGGTGTTCCAATGAAAAAAAAAACTGACTACAGAAGTATTGATAATATTAATTTATTTGTAACTTCTCATTCTCAAATCAGAAACATGATTTGCTTTTTTAATGAAAGGTTCAAACTAAAGAACGGTATCAAGTAGGGTTTTATGAAAGCTTCAGGTTAAAAATTTCTTTCATATGTGCATTATTAGATATGTTAGTTCATTTTAACACATGCCATGTAATTCCAGTTCGCATTTATTAGATAAAAACCAAGTTCATGAACTAAGCTATAAAGAACAAGATGGAAGGTTGCATTTTATATGCTTAGAATAAATAAATGTTTTGGCTTTTTTTAAGCTAGTGAATAGAATTTAACAAACATGCTTTTTTAGTCAAGGATAATAAAATTCAGTAAAAGTTTATAATATCTCAAAAAGACTATTATCACTACATTTTACCAAAAGTAAGATGTTATTTTTAATTAGAGGTATTATAAAAATTCTCATAACAAGAAAACTAAACTGCATGATGAAAGCTATATGGAGTTATATTAATTTAAGAATAGTTAAAGTTTAAAAATTTTTAATTAAAAAATGATTACAAAACTTGTTTACATTATAAAAATATTAGCCTTAGGTTGTGAACTATACACTAAGAGAGACAATTTCTATTTGAATGCCAAGTTTGCTTCAGTACTTCTTTGTTATAGCTGCCCCCAAGCAAATTTTACAATTTAACATTTGCACCAAGATCTCAGCTATAATTTCGCCAAGCTCGCGAAGTACAAATGTAAAAATAAACAACAAAATATATGGTAATAACAATAATACTCACACGTCGTTTCCTAAGATTATATTAAGAGTCCATATCTTTATACTTATTATCTTTATTTTATTGCAAGTAATTATTCCAGTCAACTGCAGCACTTTCACACATATTAAGCTGTTTGTTACACCATTTCATGGATGTCAATGCCTCAGCCTAAGAACACATAAATCTAATTGCAGTGATGAACAGTATTCTGGAACTGCTGAACCCATTTCCGACATGAAGGTCCTTTTTTTTTATAATTTTCAACATTTTATTTCCAAATGGTTTCATCATTAACATAAAGTTTCATGTTGTGGCCACTTTTGCATACTTGTTTGTCAGGTAAAAGACATCTTTCTTGAAAATAATGATATGGCACCCACCTTATTACTTGGTAAATTAAAGATTGTTAATGTCATGCTCACATACACACACACACACACACAAAAGCAATGATTACATTTTAAAATAAACAATATGAATTTGAAAACCTCATAAAAATGAATAATAGAAGACCACACAGCAGGAGCCAACATCGTGTCAATATCTGATTATGTGGCAAGTTATACACAGGAAGATCTTGGTGAGACATCTCGGTTCATTGGTGATTCATTCTTGGGGACCGGTGTAAGAAAGACGTACCTTTCCTTCTTCGGATTCAATAAATTATTTATTGTAAATTTATAAAAAATTCTGAGCACAAACAAGATTTATGTCTATAATCATGGAAAATGGTTATTTAACACTTTGTATTCATATCTGCAAACACCTTTACAAAACAGTGCCCCCCCCAAAAAAAAATATCACTTAGTGTTTCACACTTACCAAATTAAAAAACTGATTTCAATTTTTTAAAGCCTAGTTTATGATATAAAAAATAGGTACTTACGTATTATCGCAACCAGGTTGGCGCAATTTGTAAGTTTGAGTAAAAAAGTATGAATAGAAAGAAAATGTACATTTATTAATTACAGATAATTTTTAATACAGTTTTTTATATTATTTTGTTTTAAAATATAAAATAGCAATTAAACCCTTCCGGTTTCGAATTTGAATAAGTTGCAGAATTATTTTTTCGGCAGAAATCTTTTGGCTATTGCTTTTAGCACTGATTGAAAACCGTCTTCGCCATTAACAGCTTGAGCTTGGTGCCATATAAATTCGATAAGGTATGAGTCAAGATGATGACGAGCTGTTCCTCTCTGTTTTTTGTTGCGCCATTTGGCTGGCCCCACATGCGCTCTACATGTTGTGTGTGAACGCCCGTGTTGGGATCCACAGTTATATTTGTGATTAACAGTTCCATGCAGAAATCCAGCATTTTCGAACTCACTTGTATTGTATCCTTTCCAGCAATCCAAATAAATGATGCTTTCTTCCTTGATATTTTTACAAATTTTTTCCATGAGGGTAACGGCGCTTCTGTTAGGTAAAGTAACCAAAAAAGTCTCTTTCTTTTCTTGGCAAATTCCGCGGAAAACCCATTGCTGTGGTAGTACACGCCCAGTGTTATTTTTTCTTTTTACAAATAAACTTTCTTCTATTTCCACAATTAAGTCCTTCGCCACCTATTTGCTTTCTTTCTTCTTCATCCATTTCAAGGGCACATATCTCCCGCATGTAACGAAAAACTACGTATAACACATAGGGTTGCCGTAAGTAGGGTCACCAAATTTGGCGATTTATGCGAATTTTGGCCTGGTTGCGTTAATACATAAGTACCGAAAAATATTAGCATAGTTGTGAAGCTTATTATAATCTGAAAAGAATTTTTTTATTTGAATGTCAAATTTACTTCCAAGGATCCAATAAATTTTATGCATCAAGTTAGTAAAAACTTCCAACTCTTATAAGAATGGACATGTATAATTAACAAGAATGAAAAGCTTATTTAAGATTTCTTATTTGCATTGTGTGAAAACTTTCCAAAAAGAATGCCATTCAAAAATCTTATAACTACTGCATTAACATTAAAATTATTATAATTACTGTATTAATTACAGTATAACTGATTAATAATTGAATTAAAATGTAATTGCAAATATAAGTAATTAAACTGCAATTACATTCATTTACTACATTACTTGTAATTACAATGTAACTATTGCTATGCTACAATTACAACGTAATTGCAATTATAAAACAGTTAATAAATAATTGTATTTAAAATCTTTCAATTATAATAATTATAAATCACAACTGCACATAATTCAATTACAATCTAGTTGTAATAGCACAATTTATGTATAATTACAATTACATTGTAATTACAACTACGATACAGTTATAATTGCAGTTTTAATTACACTGTATGCGCATCAACTAGAATTATAGCATAATTATAATTAAATTTATTACACCTTGAGGGAGTTGTATTACTTTTGTTTATTATATGAAATGTTGCTCTCAGAAAATCAAATCTAAAGACACAATCTTGCTTTATAAATTGAAGAATCTTTAACCTATCCTCCATGCATTTCCGTACACAGCAAATTCTCATAATGTTGCCATTTGACTACATGCAAAATCTTTAATTTACCTTTAAAATATAAGCTATTTATTAC